CATCACCCCCCCCCCCCCCATGCCAGACTACGTGTATTCTGCGGGGTTTATTGAAACCGAAAGATACATTTCTTGAAGTAGGCCTGTTCAATTCAAAATAACTCCATCCCTCCTGTGAATAAGTGGTTTGGATCAGGACGAGATCCTGTAACTATCACGCCACGGGAAGAGTGGTCAAGTTCCATTCGTAATTCACAAAAAGGCTTATTATCCGTCTAAGTCAATTAGTCCACGTATTATTTCAGAATAAGAGTAACATTAACATTGCCTCATATATCAGAAGTCTGATAGGGGTTCTCTGGGTTCTATGATGGTATCAGCATGGACACCTATGCAACATCTATAATTATGAATCTGATTTCTGTTGGGTGCTTCTATCTTCCGGAAGAGCTGCGGTCAGCTCATCGCCGCATCATAGATGCACCTGGCTATTTAGATGCATTGTAATAAGAGATTCTAGGAAGGCAAGAATTGGCGAATTTCATCTGGGACAGTCAGGGTTACCAGAAAACTCGGGACTAAATTTCATCCCCTGAAAGAAAAGGGATATCTCCAAAAAAAAAGCCCGTATGTACCGGACGGAGGATGTGATCCGGTGCCTTATGGTTTTTCATGTTGGGTTGCGACTGTACAAGTCTCAGACGGACATTGCGCATTTTGGGGTATGCAGCTGTCTGAACTTGACACATCTGACGTAGATGCACCTGTAATTCAATTAAGGTTGAGAACACCGTGTTGGGAAAATCATTGCTGTAGTAACGTGGTAAGAGCCCAATGTGGAGTTTTGACCACCTACAACCTACAACCTACAACCTACAACGTGCATGTACTCTTCTATCACAATAGAAGACTTCTTTCATTTTCAATCTGCAAGATACGGTAATTTTACGCCTACCATCTTCCCAACTACACCCCGGTGATCTTTGTTCTCAACAGCCAGTTTGGCCTAGCTAGAATCGGGATCTACCAGGAGAGGATATTCCTCGTCCTCACAAACCAACTCGTTAAAAGTGAAGAAATGAGAGAGGCCACAGATAAGCTCTCTACTCAGATAATGGGGACTGGTGGACCTGAATTGGCTCGATCGCCTACTCACTTAATAGTATTACTGTTAGTCCGGCTAGTTGACACCTCTAGTCGTCGATCACCAACGTAGGGCACTTACCTATAGCTGGAATCATTTCTTTTGCCAGCTGGAATTGGTGTCCTGTTCGCTTTGAACCCTTTATGACCCGTCGATTATGTAGCTTATGTGATAGCTGCTCAACCCAAGCACATTTGTAGATCACGCCAATTATACCAGTGAAAGATGACAGCTGGACATTGCCGCACCGGATTCGTCGTCTTGCTGTTACTCATTCCAAAGGCGGTTGCATCCTGCATAAAGCCCAATGGCATCTTGGAGTGATATTTTGCGGGCAGCCGAGAATGATCCAGGAGGTGGAACACAGAAATCTATGGCTCCCGTACCAGTGCAAAGTGTTCATTACGATCGACTTGATGTCTCGATGTAGCCCCCGACATTCCTTTTCGCGCCCTAGTCCATTGAGGTGTGTTGATACTGAAAATACCATGGCGGATATCCGCATATATTACATGCAAACTCCAATCAATCCATTGTGAAGGAAGCGATTATCATAGCTATAATCAGCGGAAGTCCACACAGGATGCTTGAAATTACCCCGTACTCAACCTGACGAGGCAGATACAACCGTTAGTACGTACGACTATCTTATACGGAGGCCAGTATACGAGGCCACAGTGATAATCCATGATCCAGAGGCGAGTTTCATACACCATCTTTGAAACAGCGACAGAATATCTTCTAGGGACTACATGATTTATCCATCATTGGTTATCTGCGGAGCTTCCCGGCTTGGCACATAATCCTTATTTCGACACATGTCGCACAAAAGATCCGACATAATAAGAGACATGCTTTGCATCTACTGTGCATCTAACAGGCCCTATACGGTCACACGGGAGATCCGACATCGATTAGAAGAAACATTGCACCGCTTTTACAGAGACACGGCTGGAAACGCTCCTATCACCTTTGGTCTCTTGGGCAAGAGTACATGCCCACGGCCCAAGGTGTACATAATTGGGAAACTTTCCCAATAAACACGGTGCCACCACCTTCTCGGCGAGCACTCCGAATTCTCACGGCGGTATGAATCCTTTGGGATGCTTGGCAGCAGAGATTTCGATCTTTAAATCCTTGAATTCGGGGAGCTTGGATCGAATAGGCTTCTTCTGGCCTCTGCTAGGACATGCCTCAAGCACCCATCCCTCTACATCTGCCAACCAGCGCGGCGATACTAGGCATGCATGCAGCTATCTCTCCCACGAAAATCTTTCTGCCTTTCTCTCGCTCCAGGATCGACTGGCAACCAAGCAACCAGGATGATCCTGGGGGGTCGAAGAAACTAATCAGAGCGAAAATATAAAAATCTAGATGTCAATACCGACAGCTCGTACAACCAGGTCAGTCTCAGACAATGCAAGATCCCGTTAGGGGCTCCCCGGTGTAGAGAATCATTGGATGGTATGCGGATCGAGGCCAGTCGTTGAGTATCGTTTAAAGTGTGATTTATCTCTGACTGGTAAAGACTTAACGTGATACACGCAGGTCTCAGGAGGGGGGCTACATGAGCGAATCCTAAGTTTAAAGTAAATACGGGGTAGAAGAATGGTGGGAGAAAAGAGAAAACGTATAGGGATGAAACAGTTGACATCTTCAAGCAAGATCTTTGAATTTTTTTACTTGTTCACAGGGATCCGAGTTGTCTCCAGTAGAGAACCCGGTGTGTTGCCTTTTGTTGTTTTCTAGTTCTTTTGCACGTTCCGATTAGAGTATACTTCAGCTACTCAGTAAAATAACGAATTCTGGATACGTAGTGTTGATTAGTTGATATTTATGGCTGAGTTGGGGGCGGAGGAACAGCGGATGATACAGAAAAAGCATTTTCAATACTAGCATCGCCGACCTCAAGAGCTACCCTGGAAAGCAGTAACGTGGCTTGGCAAAACTAATAATTGGGGTGACTTTTGTAGATTTGACAGAGCCCCCGCAGCATCGGAAAAAAGATAAAAAGGAAGAATGTCTCTTTTGTACCTTATCTCATGGATCGGTTGTGAACACCTTACAGCCCATAGGATACCAAAAATTTAATGACAGAAGTGGGACTTGAACCCACGCTCGTTTCCGAACCAGGAATTGATGTTAAGATTAAGACCTTAACCTGGCGCCATAACCAACTCGGCCATCCTGCCTTGAGGCCTTGAGGTCTCGCCTCGTCTAGAAACGTTTTTTTACCAAAAATGTTGACGTGTTCACTATTGACACGTATATTTCTATCCGTGACGCTTATCCGGAATAAGCTAGTTTCGGTCTAAGTAAATTCTTATAGTCGGTAAAAGGTTGTTCATATGAGACATTCGTTCTTTGTTTCGAACGTCGCCGGAAAAACTGGTTCTGGTTGTGGCATTCGTTCTTTGTCCTTGCTACATATGGTCGGTGGCAATGTCCAGAGACATCTGTCTTTGTTTCGTTTCTATTGGCCGTGAACGCATTTGGAAACCGGCCAAAAATCGTTTTAACATCAAGTAGGTCCTGCAAAACAGCGTGGGGGAGATGTTCAAGAGATATATCTTTTTCTTTCCCTGACTGTGTTTGTTACTGTACTTACTAATTCTGTCAGTAGATAGAGTACTCTGCATGTAAGATCTCGTCCTTTAACCACATTAGTAACCTGCATCTCCTGATGAGCAGGTCATCCTTGCACACATCATCTCAACCGCTGCTTCCGCCAAAATATTCGGGGGTGGAATGGACATGGTGATGGGTGATGCCATCCAGGTCAAACCTGGAAGTCGGAATCCGAATGGTTGGACGGTACTGATTGGGCAACGTCCTCCCGTATACGTCAGCCTCCGTCCGAGAGTGACATATCATGACGCGCACGGACCACGCCGACTCCGCACTCGGTGGCAGATCTCACCACCAGTCAGATCACCAAGATCTAGGAACGACTAATCGCCCGCCGCTGCACTGCACGCAACCAAGCAAGAAAGCAACCAAGCAACCAAGCAACTCCGGCCTCCGGCACAAACCTGGGAATTTCGTTCGTGACTGCACACGGCCTCGTCTGGGGGGGGCTTGAGCTTCAGCCACCAGATGGTTCGGTGCGCACCGGGGGGAGACATGCCACAGTTGGTTGAGTTTTGAAGATAGGACCAGAGAGAGGGAAAAACCGTCATGGCACTCTGCAAGAGAGCGGCTGTAACAAAGTCGAGATTGTTCTTATCGTTTGCTCTATCGCTGGGGAACAAAGGTAGATATCCGGTTGGGACGAGAAGAGGTGGCTCATGAGGCTGTCCAGAATCCTGTTTTTCACCCCCAGGGAAATCATTGATCATGCCGAGTGACACGTCATGATTTGTCTAATAATAGTGTAAAAACCCGGGGTTCCCTCAATGTGATGTGAACTGCCGATAGGTTTCGGAAAATTTTCACACTCGGTAAGTTTAGCGAAAGACAACTCATCCACTGGGAAACAAATGGTATTGTTTGTCTGCTCAACGCATCTAATTGACAGCAAGGCAGTGGCAGTGTTGGGCATTGTTGAGAAGTACTGTCGAACAGCGAACGCCAAGTCCCAGCGCAGAGAGGCTCAGCTGAAACACCTAACCCTGGACCACATCATCGAATCACGCTTTGAGTATTAAACGTTAAAAGACACTGGGAATCTCGCTTATCTTCCCTCTTCTCTTCTCCTCTTCCCTCTAATCCTCATCCTCACCATCCTTATCTCATCACCTTTTTATCCCTTTGATACTGGTTATCCAAAGGGCACATCACTTTGCGTATTACTTCCCTTTTGTTTGTTGCTGTTGCAGTGAGTATTCCCTCCCAATCTTATCTTATCGTCGTGAGTAGTACTAGTAACGTTTGCTAACAATCACCTAGTAATATTATTATCCCTTATCGAGCGAAGATGTCAGGCCTTCTTCCCCATCCTACGGGAGCCCGTGATGGTGGAGAGACAAGCAGCTCTAATGTTAAACCCTCAGAGAATGGTGCTGGTTCACCGCTCAAACCTAGAAAATCCTCAGACCGGAGGATAGTTTTTGGAACACCAACCTCGCAGCTTTCCAGCACTACAGATTTACCCAGCCAGGCCAAACCAGACGAAAGCAGGCCCAATGTCGGTGCTTATTTGGGCATGACACCTGTGAGGGATTCTGTTGGAAACTTGCTACAACAGCAGCAAAACCGTGAGGAGGGTACTCGCTTTTCTGAAGATGTTCAACGTTATCCGCCGCCGGGCCACGAAAGTGCTCAGCCGGACGAGAGAGATAGAGAGGGGGAAGGGAGGACAAGGCATCGATGGAATTCTGCTCGATCCAAGTTTGGGAATGTGTTGTCAGTCAGACACAATCTTCGAGACACCCTGTCCTCAAGAAGCAGACAGAATAGCGTCATGCCCAAGGTGGACCATCTGATGAATGAACTTAACTCAAGGGAAGCTTTATCCAGAGATAACCTCAATATGTCCTCACATCAGGGCACAGGTCATCATTCTCCAGCTCCTCCGCACCCGACTGCTGCCACATCTTTGGCAAGCACAGCTCCACCACACGTCCCGGAAACATCCTCTGGGAGCACAGCCAAACACTCCAGCCCGTCGAGATTCTCGAGCAAATTGGCATCATGGAGACACCATCACCGGAAAGGACGAGGTAGAGAATCGTTGGAAGAGGAACATGAAGGGATCGAGTTTACAGCAGCAGCTGAACAGCTTAGATCGTCTTCCTCACCTCCTACCCAGAGATTTAGGACTCGAGTCAATCGATTTTTACGGTCTGGAAAACATCACGCAAGCTCAACGGCATCACCTGCTTCGAGTGCTGCTGCTGCTGCAGGCTCCGAGCCTGGACACCCAGAATCACTATCCACCCGCACTCCCGCTCATACGCCCCCGTATGTTTCCTCAGGACAGTCGTCTACAGCTCGTGGCTCCAGCCATGGATCCGGGTTTAGGGAAGCTGTGCGAAGAGGGGTCGCTTCCGCACGTAGGAGGGTATCGGTGCCATTTTTATCAGTACCTCTAGCTTCTAATGATGTGTCTGGTACAGGGACCATTGAAACCGAACCCCCGGAAAGACCACAAACAGTCCCGCTAGAAAGACGTGACGAGAGCAAGGGGGCTTGGATTAGTCCTGGCGGATCTGAGTTTGCACTCAATAGCAAACCAGGACGCGATTTCCTTCCATCCGAGGCAACGAATGTGGAGCCCAACTATGCCGCCCCACCAAAGGTCACCGAAAATTCCACTCCGGATGGGTGGCGAGAGAGAGATTTTGAACAGGTTTCCATGATACAGTCCCCTCCCCCTTTGTCCCCCCCAGGAATGGAAGAGTCGCCGCCGATCTCTCCGTGGATAAAGGCATCAGATGGAACAAAGGAATGGTTGAAGTTGACTTCAGAGGAAACTCCCTTCTTTCTACCGGAGATCGATCCAATAGCCCCGCTTTCAGTTGGAGGAATGGTGAATCGGGAGTATTCTATGACCCCGAAACGCTCCAGTGGTGGGCAGAATCTCTCGGACATCTACTGGGCGGTAGAGCAGGGCTCGGGTTCGAACAGAGTTGACGAAGGGCAGGCTATCGACAAAGGAAAAGGAAAGGCTGTGATGAGCGATACTGACCGCCTTGAGCTCCCGGGGAATAGTCGTTTTTATGTGGACACTAGTGGAAAGTCGATAGAGGTTCTGGAAGAGGAGAAGAGAAGAAAAAGCAGGGATACTGGCATCATGGGTCTTGACCCGGAAGTGAATCACCGAAGTGATGCCCCCTCAGGCTCGGGCTCTAGAGTGGAAGATGAAGACGGTGAGTTTACCTATGCTTCTGCGGTTCGTGAAATCGCAGGGCTAGATAGATACCCTAAACGTCCCTCTCATGATGATGATGCCAATTTGGATGATGTGAGTGTGCCCGAGTGTGATTATGATTTTCCACTCCCGAGTTTCCGCTTTAGTATGCTAGCAGAGCCATCACCATCATCTAACGAGCCGGACGCGAGTCCCTGCACAGCTTCGTCGAGCTCAACAGAACAGCCATCCGGCTCAACGCCAACATTTCCACGCCTAGCCTCGACACACATGCAGGCGGCCACCACCACCACCGCCTCCACCGCCACAACAACACGCACTACGACCGCCAGCAGCACGAACCCTTCCGCTTCTTCTTCTGTCTCCCCTCCTAATATTTCTCCCTGCCAGTATCAGATGTTATTGAGCTCGAAGAGACCTTATCTATTTGTGTTGCAGGAACTTTCTTCAGGAACATATGTTAAGATTACGCCGCAAAGTAGTTCAAGCCCTGTTTCCAGGAGCATGAGCACTGTGTCTCGGAGTTATCCTGAGACACCGGCGGCGAGTCAGACGAGTCCTGGACCTGCAAGGAGTCCGGTCAGTGTGAGGTTTCTCAATACCAATGGACTTTTGGCTTGCAATGCGGATGAAAACGACGAGGATAGCGATGACGAAGGAGTTCTGAGCGAAGGGAGGGGGGGAATTAAAAAATAATGTATAAGGATGTGTGGACGGATTTGCTTGGCTCTTGTTTGCTTCAACGCGAGCACTTGGCGTGCAATAGTGGGGAAGGGATTGTTGCTGTTTCTTTCCCTTCCCTTCCGCTTTCCCTTTGCGATTTTCTGTGGCCGCGATTGGGGGATCGGTATGGATCACGCCGCAGGACGGATGTGAATAGAAGTACCGCCTGACAATGGAATGTGGGGTCACAAACTGCAGATCTTGGCAATTAATGTGATCGTGAGTGATATCTGGTGATTGTCGATGCTGGGTCAACGACATGGTGTGGTTCTCAGTCAGCTCCTTCAATGCTTGTATCAAAGCGCATTACACGCCTATCTGGCCTTTCTCTCTGTTTTCCCATTCCTCTATCACATCTTCTCTGCCACCAATACCCCACCTTTCCTTCCATCTCATACTTTTGATCCTGTATGTTCCTCCCCAACTACCGTTGATTGGGACCTTGGCACCTTTCAGCTGCCTCCTGTCTCGTTTCAGAACGGACATTCTCTCCCTCTTTGAGTCTTATTTTCCCTGTTATTGCGGTAAGGTATACATCTCCACACAAAGAAAAAGAAAAAAACGAAAAAAAAGGGTACCGATGAGGGTTAGGGTTACAAGTCCTTCATTTAAGAACACGAACGTGTACGGTTAAATAACGAATAAAACGATTTTTTTATGAACAACCCGCTAGCTTGCGGCGCGTAGCTGCACGCAAACTGTGAACATCAATCTGCTGTAAAACATATATCCGTTACTTTAGTAGTTAGCTGCTTTCTTCCACTCAGTAGAAAACTTACATCTGATACACCCATCGTCTTACCCCGGATGTGACAGGGGGGTTGTGTTCTCTGGGGGGATAGAGATGAGTGGCCCACCGATGTGATTTTGATCGAGACTTGTGCTTTTAGCAGCGGACCACTGGTACAAATAACCTGGGGGGTGGGTGTGGGGTGAAGAGTGGGGGGGGTGGACGTGAAGTCATGGGTCCCTTGAAAACAGATGGCACAGGGTTAGGGTTGACTTGAAAGCTGGGTGATCGACTGATTGATTGATTCGTCCCAGTATGCCTTGAAAGTTGGCAGGATGAATGGTGTTTTTCTTGAAGGATCATCATGATGATGATTTTTTTGTTGGGAAGTGGTGTGTTTTTCGCAGGAGTGGTGTTTTTATTATCCGAGACTGTGAGAAGTGCGCAATGCGCGCAATGCGCGCAATCTCGTATCTGTACCTACATATTCGCTCTCGGTATGACGTATTCGGGGCTGTGCTCGCTCGTAGTCTACTATCTAGATGAATTATAGGATTGGTATAATCGCTGGTGCACTGCCCTGCCCGCACTTTTTGGTTGCGGGTGCGGTTGCGGTTGAGAATGCGGCCGAGTGATAGTGTGTGAATGTGTTTCGGACGGGGGTGATGTGCGCTCCAAGCGTTATGAAAAAGGGCAGTATGAATGTGCACTGCGTCTTGAATAGACGTGTCGGTTTTTGAAAGATTTGGGATGTGATAAATACTCTGGAGGGATATCTGTTACTGAGGATATCTATCAGTCTGTCAGTTACTCCTATCAAGCAAAACACACTATATATCATTCCCAAGTTAAACCCCATTATCAAAATAATCAAATGCCTCGCCCCAGTACCCGCCGCGCCTACGTGCCCAAAATGATAATCCTGCACTACCACAACGGGCAGCTCGGGAACCCGTTCTCGGACCGCGAGATTGACGAGCTGTTTCCCCGCACTGTACGCCGGCTTTTCCAAGCCCCAATCGAGCAAACGGATGGGAAAAAGAAAGAAAAGGAAGATGTACAGATGATTGAGAGAGGGGAGGGGCTGAGGAAGAGAAAGCGGGAGGAGTCGGCGAGGGAGGTGTATTGGGATGGGAATTGTCTGAGGTGTAGGAGTGCGGGGTGGGGGGTTGAGGGAAAGTAGGTGGTTGGGATACTGCTTGCTGTGTGCAGAGCTAGGTTGTTGTGCTTGTGGATGATTGTAATTGTCAGTTAGCTGGTTTTGGTAACTTGGTGTTGTTCTAGAAGGTTTATGAATGTTGCACTTTGTTTTATCCTGATGAGAGGATCCTGTTTTCTGGTCCTTCTTTAGTGCTTGCAGTCCAATACGATTCGATCGATCGTTTTCTTTGATTAAAGACAGGTTCGATATTTGAGGTTTCGTGCTATCATGATCATTACCGCTTCAAACTTTTGATAAGCTTCATCCGTCAAATACAGGAATGCTAAAGAGAGATCGTCCACGTTATCGGTTCAAACGCTCCATTAATGCAGTAACCCCCCCCCCCCCCCCTCAAACGCCAGTTGAAATATATTCCCTAGTCATTTTATTCCAGCTTTCATACTTGCGGCGAGAATAAGTTTCCGCCAAATTTGTACGTGAAAATGCGGTTGCAACACAAAGTGGTGGCGGAAACTTATTCTCGCAGTAAGTACAATCAATGAAGTAATCGATCAATTAATTATTCCAGCTTTTATTTATCCTGGCCCATACACCAACACTATCCATCTAGCAACTCATAGTATCCGTTCCTCTTACAAGGGTAGATTTCTGTAGATAGTGTATTTTTTAGATGACTTTCCCCATCGATATCCCGTTCGCTGTTAGGCCAGAACATAATAATCTATTTTATTATTTCCCAGGGTTAGGATTCCTGTATGGTCAGCCATCACCAAACTTGATCTAGATGATAGATATATGTATAATTGGCTTGACAGGTATGTTTTGCAATGTCCACGAGTCTTGGAGGAGATGGGAGTGGTCTTTTAAACCATAGCTAGAGTCATCACTTCGTCTGTTTTCAGAACTTAATTAGAATCTGGCTCTCACCATAAAATTAACGTCAACAAACGGTGCAAGATTAACCAAAACTACCCAAAATTTGATTAAAACGTATTTGCCAACCGTCAATTCTGGCAATCCACACTTCGAATCTGACACTTACTGTCTGCGGTCAGGGCTTGACTAGATATTACCATGATGTCAACTACTGTGGTGTCTGGCTCGCGGACTTGGTATCATTAGGAGTGTAAATCATAGTCCGGCAAGCGACTCCACTTCAAAATGACTTGTATGTCGCTTTGGAGAATGCCGGGGTGTCGGTTACCGGGGTTCGCTGTTGGCGAATGCGAAGAGATAATTATAACATATGCCTTGTCCTACAGTAAGATCTGTAGATCCAGTACTAACGAAACCAAACGGATTAATCAGTCTAACGGATCCCCGGCCGGCCCTCCCCAGCTCCATCCTACACCCCATGCCCAGACATTTCCAGCCCAAAGATCATTCCACTACTCTTCAGATCCCCCCAGCAAGCGAGGAGAAGAAATGGGCACCAACTCCGGGTCCAGACTTCAGACCCCATTGTCAATGACCAACCCGCCACAAAAAACAACCCAGCGCAGCAACAGCCGCGGCCGGTCATGTCACCTCACACTCACCCCCGTGACCGGCCTGTCTGCAAAATAATTGTACCTATAGCACCCTGCATGGGCCGGCTCTGAGTCTAGGCACTGTATCAATATATCGATACACCCCTACAGAAACCCAATCTAATAATCAATCTCCCTTCCCCCTTCCCCCTAGCTACTGGCCCTCCCAGAGATCGAGTCCCGGAATGCCGTCCGGTGCCGCGGTCGTGATGTGCGCCAGGGATGCCATGTTTAGGCTGAGCTGAGGGTTTTCGTTATTAATCATGTGCACACCCCGGTAGAGGAGAGTAGGGCCGGCCACGTGAAATAGAGACTCGATATCAGGCGTGATATTGCAGTACTCTATGTACTCGTAGTTTTTTGACGTTTCCGGACGCGACCACTATTGCATGCCATACAAAAGATAGCCTTGGCGGGTTTTTTCTGTGTATGCAATAGCAGTTGCGTCCGGAAACGCGAGTATGTATCAAGAGTTCGTGATTACGTAACGTTACTGTGTAGCCGCTGGGGATTGTGGTATCTGTAGCCGGGTGGGTGTGATGAGACGAGATGGGTCAATATAACTACTTCACTCTGATATTGCAGTACCAAGATGCGTGATCAAATATCAGCATCGCGGGTAATAACGCCCCAAGATCCGCGCGATGCCTCGGTATCGTGGTATCAGAAATTAAAACACATCTCACATCTCTATCCCACCCAATTGCAACCTGGGATAGCACCAAAGTGCAAGTGACGAGACAGGGGTAGAGAACGGTCAAATCATCCGGGTTTTCTGGCCCTTTTGATGACGACCAACCAACATCGACACGAGTAGTTACTATATGCACAATTAAACCCAATATATTGCTCCGCCCTTAAGCCTTACCTAGGTTTTATTTCTTTATCATACATCAATCAGCACTTTTTTATTTCCCCCGCCAACCCAGTCCAACCCAAGCCTTTTCTGCCCTTCCCTTCCCTTCGTCGTCAAATCGTAAAGTAAAAAGCCCAACCCAGAACAAGCCAAGATCAAAGGGAGAAAAAGAGAAGACAAAAGACAATCGCCAAGAAAGTAAGAAACGAAAGTAAGTATGAAGAGGCAGTTACTGTACATGGTGATCAATAGAACGACTGTGGTATAGTGAACGAAAGAACGAAGAGAGAAAGAAGAAATGATGGTAAATAACTGTAAATGAGTGGTATATAGAGAAGTATTAAAAATTTCCGCTACAAGGCCGCCCCCCTCCCGCGCCGCGCGCCTTTAACCATGCATATAAATAAAATAAATAAACTATTTGTTTTCTTTTTGGATATAGAACGACAGACAGACCGCCAACCCCACCCCCAAAGTAAAAATGATATCAATAACGAATGTAGAGATATGTATATACGCCCAAAACAATGACCAAAAAGTTAACGAGATGTGATGAGATATAGAACGGAAGAAAGAAAAAAAGTCAATCTCCTAATAAAAAAGAGTAAAGGAAAACCATGAAAGATTACAAGAATAACTACGATAGTGACAGACTATCGAGAAAATTCAGTCCCATACCAAACCAAAAAAAAAAAAAAAAAAAAAAAATAAAAAGTGAAATCCCATCATAAAAAGTGCTAGGTAACAAAATTACCTGTCCCCTCGACGCTCCTCCGTCCATATAAGAAATACTTATCTGATCAAAGGCGGAGAGAAACGTAATATACCAGAAGAAAAGAATACTAGTGGAATAGAACAAAAAAACAATAATAAAAAAACCCAAAAACCATAAACCCATGACGCGAAAAGCAATATACTCGCACTGTGCCCTTTTTCAAAGAAAGGCTCTTGTGTCGTTATTTCCAGGTGGGAGCAACTCTCTTGGTTGTTGTAGTGGTGATTTGTTGTCAATCTCTTCCATTGGCCTGAACAGCAGTTTCATATCGTACGTCAACTCATCCATCGCAAAACCCTCGTCAATTGCAGAAACTGCACCCTGTAAGTCCAACCTCCCGGTCCCATCCGTGATGAACCCCTGGACATGCTTCAGCATATTCTTGACTTTGGAGACCGTCTTGTCGTCATCAACTCCATGCCTCCAATCAATGGTTCTATTCCGCGCCAAGTATAACTTTCCCAAAAGATAGAATGGCACTCCATCTCTTCCAAACCCTTTCCTGGACTCGGGCGAAGGGTATTGTGTTGCAAGGTCCGTATCCCAAGCCCTCTTCCATTTCTCCAGCGCATATTGGGTGATCCTGACTGCCTTTGCTGCATCCGACATCGCCATTTCGCTATCTCCAAAGCCCTCGGGCGTGCCAGAACCATTCCTGTTTTGGCCATCCAGCTTCCATTCACCTGTTCCAACTCTTGCCGTGCTACCTATCTGTTTGCCGATACCCATTTCTGATGCGTTCGACATCAACTTTTGTGTTGTCCAAATATGCACATGCAAGGCATGGATGAGGATGAATTTCGAATAAGCGTTCGTCGTACCCGGGTTGAAGTCTAGATGCATCTGTAGCAACGATCTAAGGGCGAGGATAAACTCTGGCTGCCGTACCTGCCGAGACCCGGCAATGTTTTGGCTAATGCCATTTTCCCCGTTCAACCCTAAAGCATTGGCGCACTCATTTGCATCACGAGCTTCCCAGGCGGCATCATCAGCTGGCAATGGTAGTCGTATTTCATTGGGCTGGATTTGGGGTGGTGAATTGAAAAAGATAACAAACGCCGAATTCAAAAGGAATATACCAAACATGACCCTATTTCGCTTTTCTTGCTCGAGCCATGCATTCCAATTCCAGTTGCCTCTGATTGGTTGATCGTCAAGTTGGTGATATATACTGTAGCCCGCGGTGCCAGTGCCAGGGTTACTCGGTGACAAGGGCTGGAAAAGACCCGCCCGTCTGGCCTTCTGAATAACCTTTCCATATTTTCGTCGTGAATCTTCTCGTTGATGAAGATGACCATGCCAGGTTGCCAAGACATGAAGAAAATATCTTGCCTGAATTTCTTCAATCTCCAGCGGCCCGGGTGGCGCTTCGTTTCTATCCATAGCTTCAAATGACTTATCAATCAACGTCCGTACCTGGTCGACACTAATACCCCCCTCTGCGTAAACAGCACCAATGCAAATTATCGCCATCAACAACCCGTCATAGATGAGGGTGATGTTGAATGTCGGGAGGTGGATCATCGGGAAATGTCCTTGGAAGTTGAGAAAGAACAGGTGGACGAAATGCTTAACATGATCAGGAGTTAGCCAACTTTTCAAATCTGCGTCGTTTCCAGGCTCTTGCTTGATTTGCTGATTTGGCGAACCACTGCCAGGACTACTCTGATCCAAACTTTCGGGAAAGCAGACCGCAATCAGTTGGTCACATTTAGCTTGCAAAGGATCAATTTGATGCATGGCTAGGTGTGTCCACCCATTAAAGCCGCCTAGAATTCCATTCATCGCAGAGGGATCACTCCCACCATTATATATTGTAAACGCACTCCCTCCTGTTCCTCCTCCCGCTGAGTGCTCGATACTTGCAGTCGTTGTCGGCGTCCCACTATCAGTTGAGGGACCTCCTGTTTGTGGGATATAAAAAGGATCCATAAACCCCGGACCCGCTAAATGCATAAAAGAGGACCAATCCACTTCTCCATTTGGCGGTTGCGTGTGGGAATTCGCATAGTAACCTGTGCTTGTTGGTGGCTGTGAAACATTTGTTAATTGGCGAGGGGGCTGTTGGTGAGGGGCTGCTGACTGAGGCTGTCGCTGCTGTGATGCTACAATTGCCTGCTGTTGTTGATGTCCCTGTTGCGCCATGTGGGCCTGGGGATGTGCGGGTGGGGGAAAGTTAAAGCCCTCTGATGCATATCCAACTGTCTGGCCCACTCCTCCAACCTGCTCCGCAAAACTTGTAGGTGGTAACAAACCGCCCTCCTCTCGTGAATCCTGTCGTTTTAGGGATTTAGAATATGTGCAATCACCGCCTTTTGTTCTACATCTCTCACAAGGGCTGGCAAGATCACAGCGGACTTTTAGCCTCACGCATTGATCACACGCCCTTGTGGACTTTTTCTTACCCCCGGGTGACGTTGCGCTGGGCGACAATCCATCCGCGACTGTCGAAGGTGTCGAAATAGATGCGGCATCAGTATTTTTCTGATTGTTTGCTTGTTTTCCCTGCTGGTGAGCATGAGCATGACTTAAATGGGTTGCGCCTGTAGGGTTTCCCCTCCTGATGGAACATTTTTGGAAATGTCTCTTCAAGATATCCGATCTAGAAAATGTATCCTTGCACAAAAGGCACTGGTAAGGACGATCACCGGTATGCCGTAAGAGATGCCTCTTCAAATGCTTGGCGTGCAGGTATGTCTTAGGGCAGTGGGGACATGGGAATTTGCCGTCTTGGTCCTTTACTGGAGTGATTTGACTAGTGGCGCCGGGAGTGATCCCACTGTTGGTAGATGCTCGCGCATTCGCGGGGCGAGGATTAGGCGGGGGCGGGGGCGGACCCGCAGTTCCTGGCACCACTGTGGGTGACGGCCCTGAACTCACCACATTAGGCAAGACCTGACGTCCGCCGACTATCACACCAGGCTGGTTCGGATTTACAGATATCGGTTGCGGGCCTGAGGGGGAAGACGACGAAGACGATAGAGTGGGCGAGGCAGTCACCTGCATGCCTGACGACGGGGCTGCAGAGAGTGGCGGCGGGGGCATTGGACGCAGAGGTACAGGGTTTTGCCGTTGAGGTACAACATTCTGAGGGCGTTGTTGAGGAGGAAGAGACTGCAGCGACTGGATGGGTGGGTGGGACTGTGGCTGATGCTGGTGCTGGTGCTGGTGCTGGTTCTGGTTCTGGTGCGGGTTTTGGTGCTGCTGCAACGATGGGTTCGACTGCGGGTGGGGGTGGGGATGAGGGGCAAGTGGGTGATGATACTGCTGCATATGTGGAGAAGGCCCACTCTGCGGTTGGGGTTGGCTATTGGTATTCTGGCCTAAAGGCCCACCCGGATTCACGCCGTGCAGATTCGGTAGGGCTACGTTAGGATGGTAGCCAGCAGGCGATGGGGTTGATGAGGCTGGTGACGCTGACTGTAACGGGCGAAGAGCATGAGGATGATGTGGGGAAGGCACGTCCGATTGCTGCTGCTGTTGCTGGTGGTGAAGTCTAGGGTCTATTTGGAGGCCTGGGTGCTGCTGGTGCTGCTGCTGGAGAGGCTGCTGTTGCTGCTGATGCTGTAGAGGCTGTGGCAGTTGCTGCTGCTGCTGATGCTGCTGATGGTGTTGTTGCTGTTGTGGGGTGAGCTGCTGGTGCTGCTGGTGCTGATATTGGTGCTGCTGCTGTTGTTGCTGCTGTTGATGCTGCTGTTGATGCTGCTGTTGATGCTGCTGCTGTTGTTGATGCTGTTGATGCTGTTGCTGTTGATGCTGAAGTAAATGCGGATGTAAAGGCTGGTGATGAGGATTTTGGTTTTGTTGCGGGTGGCGATGGTGTCTGTCCATGATTGAACGGGTAGCAGCAGCACAGCAGCACCGCTGGCTGGAAGGGTTTGTGTAAGGAAGGTTAGGAATGAGACCTATTGGTTTCGCCAATGACGCAAAGGATTAATGATGGGCACTCTGATCACACTCGTTCACACACTCATTCCACTTCGTGAAGGAAAGTCTTCGAAAGTGTGGATGTGTGGATGAATGAATGGAAAAGAAAAGCAAACCCACCCCCACTACTTACACTAAACCAAAATACTCTCTCTATAAACTCTCTAGTTTAGGTCTTCCTTTTTCTCCTCAGCCTTTTCTCCCTTCACCGCTGTTTGATCCCCTTGTCTCAATTGATTTGCGCTGCAAAATTCGATATTCGGACGTGTATCTGCCGCTAGTAGTCAAGACAATTGCGATGTCGACCGCGGTGCCTGCCTTTCGGGATATGACAATATGCACAACTCTCGCGCGGTCCTTGCCCACCAACCCAGTCCGAAGCCTCTCCTTTTCGCCTCTCGACTCCTAGCGTAACCTTCGTAACCTTTTGAGAGATCGAGCTCTTCCCGGAGCGAAGAAGGGAAAAAAAAAAAAAACCGCCCTAGGAGATTCCCGATAGTAACGCGCGAGCGCGCTGGCCAGCAGGAATGAAACCTCGGGCACCCCTTCGTTCGTTCGTTCCTTCCCTACCCCGGAGAAGGTCCGTTATGAGTCTATGACGACTGCCAGTGAAAATTCCTGCAGATTAACTCTCTCACATTCACTCACTCACACCAACCAGCACAATACAACGGACTTGTCTGGCCCTTTTTCTCTCCCTAGAAATAATAGAGGGTACCTATGTCTAAGGGCCCCCGCACCCTTGAACGAGGTACTATTACTAAGAACAGCAGCGCACCTACACACAGTTCCTCTCCCTCTCCCTCTCCTTCTTCGTGCAGTTTTCAAAAGTCGATGATGCTTTCCTCTGCAGCGGGATGAAATTTGTTACTTCCGCGCTAGAGGAGGACCTAGGGTCGGAATAGAAAATGCGAATAACCTGTCTAGGTCTAGACACTGCTTCTGGAAAGATCGGCTTCTTTTTTTTCCGTTTAGAGCAGCGCTTCTAGCTCATACTCGAATGCATCCCGCCGGACGAAGGAAAAGAATCAGATAATGGGGGTGCCGGTAGCCAACTCAATAATAAGACACACTCGCTCACAAATGGGTGTGTGAGAGAGATATGATTGATATGATTGATATGATGGATGGATGATGATAATGGCGATGATGGTGATGATTGGTAGGATTGGATAGATGCTGCAAATCGGCCTCGTAGGATTGGATCTTCTAGGGGCAGGCAGCCAACGGTGGTGCGTGTGAACCGGGTAAAGCGTTTAGAGTTTTTGCACCACTGAGTCTGTATGCTGGTAACCTAAGAATGTGTGGTGTATGTGTGCAAACTGCACCTTCTGAGGAGGAGGGGCGCAGCTAGGAAACCACTTTTACTTCGGTAAACGCCGTGACACCTAGAACCTGGTTGTCCTCGTGCACGACGGTAAAGAACTGCTGAAATTTGAAAGCGACAGACAGACAGGATAAGAATAACAAGAGACCATAAAGGGTGGGGGTAAAAGGAGAGGGTTGGTAAGGGTTAATGTTTAGCTGCCGGTGTCAGAACAGACGTCGGGTTAACACAGATCTAAAGAGCCTCCAAGTCTTATTTCATGTTCATGGTTCCCGGCAACCATATATACCTTACCCTGATGTCAACCTGAGCGGAACTCCAGTGAAAAATACGAGTTCTGACCGTTATTCATGATCATATATAGATAGAGCCTCAATATTGCTTTCCTGCTTAAGCTTACTGGCCTCTTGGTAATATTGCCACATCCCGAGTGAGAAGCGGCTCACCTCTCCGTACGGATCGGTTGATCGTAATTGGGTCAGTCTAACTAGTTCTTGTAGCTCTGGAACATCGGAATATCACGACGTTCGCCGCCGATTTGAACGATTCCCGGAGGCTGACACTGCAATGAACTCTCATAATCCACACATAATTGCCACCAGTCTTAGCTATGATATTACGCACTCTCAGGCCAGATAGTTGGGGATTGGAGGCTTTACGCAATGCCTCTACTAATATTCACACTGCGCTACTACTCCAAATTGAGCCGCCTGAAAATAAGTAATAATTGAGAATACCATATTACCAGGGATACGGTATGTACTAAGTCACGTACTCAACTCAAAAGATACCCACAGTTCGGTTAGAGTGCTGATGGTATTCACTTATACAATTAGTGCGTAATGTCTAAGCGGCATACTCTACAAATAATAGCGCAAAGCGGTAGGAAGATGTTCAATAGAAACCAATTAGATGATGGTTCGAATAACATGCATGCAAAAAAAAGTTGAGAGGTTGGAAATTACTTACTTGCAGGATAACTAACTTGAGCACCTGATTGGGATATATCGATCCTTTGCTGTACCACCCTAGATGTATGTACCCGACGTCCTACGGCGGTTTCATGCTTACTTTTTCACTCGGTATTTTCTTTCTTTCCACGACTTGTCACTCTAGAGCACTCTAGGGTAAATTGATTTTGATCACCAACACCGCATGCGCCACTTTTCCATGTTTTCCCACAGTCAAGCAGAATCCCAATTGGATTGCCATCACCTAGTACTCTGCAGTCAGAGAGTGCAAGCGTATTGCTACTCTAGAGTAGGACAGGTCGGTCCCTGTCCGCCATGTACGGGCCCACCGGTCAGTTAATTACACAGTGGACCGTACTTATGCAAGATGCTCCCGCTCTTTTCTCCGAAGCTAATATTTTTCTCGTTCAACTGATCACTGATCCTCACACAAGAAAGAGGGAGGAACTCTCGTCACAAAAGAACAAATGGAAAAAGAAAGCAACCTGCAGCCCAGCCTCACACCTACATGCACTACGTCTATGGCTGGCGCACATCTCGTTTCAATTCGACATATCGAAGGTTCTTTATGGCTGGACAGTTACCTCATGAGGGGTAGAAGTGAGACAAACATCCGTTTCACCTTCGGTATCTGTCGGTATGTTAAACCAGTAGGGCAGATGCATTTCCCCGGGGCACGCGCACGGCCGTTGAGAGAAGGTAGGTTCTCTTGGGCGGTAGGTAGGTTACCTTAGAATATGTATGTACCTATGTGAGGAGAGTGGCACTGGTGGTTTTCTATGCATCCGGGCCGCATGGCGCGAATCTCACACCTACCCAACGAGCAGATGATTCCCCGCGTTCGCTTGGAGTGCAGCCAAAGACTCGGAACGTCAAATATGCACCGGCAAGGGAACACGGCTTCGATGGTTTATCCACAAATCCACAATTTTGTCGATTTGGTAGGTATAACCAAGCAGTCTGCCTTTCAAAATCTCGGAACGGGGGGCTTCTCTTGATCCGGGAACTGCTGTAGGGGCGTTCTGTACCTACAGGTAAAAAAAGAACTTGGGTACATACATGTAGGTAGTTACTACGAGAACTAAGCCGAGTGAGCACATTTTGACACACCGTAAACAATCCAGTGGAATAATACCGATACTCTATTTGCTGGTTTTTATTTATTCCTCCCGATGCCAATTGCTATTGTCGTTGTCAATGTTGATGTTATCCCAGCAAGACGCGTTTGGTAAACCTCCAATATTTTTTTTGATATTGCGCCGCGGACAGTTTTCTTATCTCCCCGTAAGGTTGAGATGTCAACATAACATACATGTACGCAATCTACTTTCCCCTAACATGATCTGATCATATCACGTCACTCATTCGCCTCCTTAACGGCTTTAACAATATCGGTCACAATTCCGGGTAATCCTGCTTATTGGAAGATATTCTCGGGGTTGAGGTCGTTTGTAGAAGAAGGCGCGCATAATCGTTGTTCTGGTTGGCCACTGTGGCAGTCATGCAGTTATTGTCATCGGTTAAATCCATTTCGGTTAACCGTTGGACCCTTTCAACCCTCCCACAGTACCCCCTTCCGTAGAGAAATAGATGTTGGGCGAAAATCTTGTTAGGAAGCATAACAAGAAATAAATTTACTTTACCGTTTCTAACTGACTGGATCTTGCCGCGCGTTCCGCTGTTCTTTATTTCATTTAACTTTATCCCTTTTCTACAGCTTGGGCAGTACAAACAAAGGGGAAGGGAATTACTACATACCCATATTACGTCCCATCCATATTAATACCTACATACACGGAGTACCTGGGTGTTGTCGGCTGTTCCGGAGACGAAGCCCTAAGAACTTTGAACTTAAACCAGGGGCCGAGGTCGACAATTAATTAATTTGAGGCCCAATTCGAACAGAACGTTCTACAGAGATGTTCTCTTTTTAATATATATCTCTCTACTGATCCATGTCTGATAAGTAATGTGTGCTTTTGTAATTTATGGGTCTCGATTGAGGATGACAGCCATCCCCTGGATCTGTATTGGTCAAATGATGCCGTCAGACCTGGTCGTGAGATGCGCGCATGAGGAGTACGTTTCGAATACATGTGCATACTGTGCTTTAGAGTAGTAACTCTGCAGAAATGTGCGTCCAGTTCGTGCCTTGTTGGAACTTGTTGGAATGCAGCACAGTTGAAACAGAGCTTTCTGGTTTACCTAAGGATTGATTAACGGGGAAGTTTTCTTTTTGATACAACTCTGTAACACTCCCCAGCGGTTGAATGGGTGACAGTCCCAAAGGTGTAAGAAGTCCCTGCCGCTGTAATCAAGTTGCAGCTTCACAGGCAATATCCTTGTTATTGACTTGAGACTCCGATGTCTATCGATCAGCAGCGTATCCTTGCACGACATGTTGACGTCTGAGTTACTACTCTCTGCAATATTTAGTACAATATCTCTGGTATGGATGCTTCTATGGAGATATTAGCGCAAGCGCGAGCCTGAAGTTTGAGGTTTGATAAAATCTTGTAAGCTGCAGTCTATGTAACATAAAGGTCTGCATGATTGTCTCAAGAAACACAACTATCATTGCCCATATCGGGGAAACTTCGGAGTAA